AGCGCATTAGCCCTCAGCGCAGCACACCAAGACTCCCTGAGGGCCTTATTGTTGTTGTTGTTAAGTGCTGTCAAATCGATTCCTACCCATAGCGACTCTGTATAGGGTTTCCAAGGAGCAACTGGTGAGCTTGAACCGCCGACGCTGCAGTTCAAACGGCTTTGCAATCTGGCGCATTAGCCCACAGCGCCACACCAGGACTCCAAAAGGCCAGCGAAATCATGTGGTCTGGCCCTGCCAAGGTAGCCACAGTTCCAGCAATCACATTGTTGTTAAGTGCTGTGGAAGCCTTACGACTCATAGCGAGCCTGTATAGGGTTTCTAAGGAGCAGTGGTGGGTTTGAACTGCTCAGCTTGTGTTTCGCAGCCCAGTGCTGATTCTAACACGCCACCCCAGGCAATCATATTAGGGGTGAGTTAATGAAGTGTTTGACCAAATATAGCAGGCTGATTTTTAAGTTGATCATTTTGTATGGCTCAATGATGTTATAAATATCCAAATGGCTTGTGGCAGAAAAAAGGTTCCCCATCCCTGCTGTATAGGGTTTCTGAGGGGTGGCTGGTGGGTGTGAGCCATCAACCTTGCTCTTAGCAATCCAGTGCTTATCCTACAGCACCATACCTGGGTGAGAATATCACATGCCCGAGGGACTCTGGAAGAAGGTGTCAGAGACATCACCAGGGACCTCTCATAGGAAAATGTGCATTCAGTAGGACCAGCGGGCAAACCTGTAAAACTATTCACATCTCATGTTGGAGATAGCTCCCAGGATGCAGAGCCTTGATTCAGATGTAGTGGGGAGAATAGGCGAAGGAGAAGATGACTTTGTTTCCAGTTGAGAAATGAAGGCCAAGCCTTATTGGTTATGGTGGTAGCCGAAAGAATTGGGATAGATCAAGTGGTCATCATTGGGCCCAGTTCTGGTGACAAGTCAGGATGGAGTCAGGAGGCTCCTAACCAAGACATAGTGGTTTTGGACTAGTTGGAATGAGCAGGATAATTATTATTGACAGTCATTAATATGTAGAGCAATGCTTCACAAACTTTGATAAATATATAAATCACATGAGGATCGTGTTTAAATGTTGATTCTTATTCAGCAAATCTGGGGTGGGACCTGAGATTATGTATTTTCAACAAGCTCCCAGGTGATGCCTGTGACCACTCAGAGTAGCAAGGATCTAGAGCAGCACTGTCCAATGGAACATTCTTCAGTGACAGAAACATTTAATTGTTAACAAAAATCTTTCACAAATATTAGCTCATATGAGCTGCAGCACAACTGTTAGACAATTATAGCAGGCTTTATTAGCCCCATTTCATAGATGAGGAAACTGAGTTTCAATGAAGTGACTAGGTTACAGTCCCACACTAGTAAATCTCCTGATTACTAGTGTTTTTTTCCATTATGTGACCTTGCCTTCTAGGTGGCCCTGCTCTCTCCTGAGTCAGAATCTTATCTGAGAACCTGGTGTGATTTTTCTGGTACAAGGAGTGTGGATGCAGAGAGGAGGTGTGCTTACCTGAGCCAGTTTTTTCCTTTCCACCAATGGAGAGGGAGTCTGCCTCTGATAACTTATTTGGTGACTTCAGAACAAAATGCTCACTAATCCTGGTTATCAGCTGAAGAGGAAACTCTTCAATCCTAATACCTGAGCAGTGTTAAAAGGGGATAGGAAATCTGGAATTAGAAGCCTGTAGACATCAAGAAATTGGACTTACTGAGTTAGGAGAAGGGAAGGCTGAGGAAGTTAGCATATAGGTATCTGCAAGAAGCGTATTCCAAAGGATAAAATGAGCGGAACTAGTTTGCTATTTCATCAAGAAGTTTGGAGATTCTATAACAGAGCAGGCCCCTTTTAGGAGCAGCCCCCACTTATTAGAGGGTACAGAAGGTAGTTACAGTACCTTCTGCCCCTTTGACTGTCATGGTTTATCCTTCTGAGACACAACCCTTAGTGGCTAAGTGGTCACCATGATAATGGTAGGAGTCACCCACCCCAAAGGGTCCCTTTCCTTTGTGGGTATTTAAAATGGACTGGTACATGTGAGAGACAAGGAAAGAGAGAATGGGGTTCAAACTTGACAGGTTGAGAAGTCAGGCATGAAATCAGGTGCTAGATTGAAACCCTTTGCCGCACTGTGTGAAACTCTGCCCCTCTGCTGTGTGCTTAGCTCAAGAGCTCAGCAGGAGGCCCTTCTGCTTGAGCCCGGTTGTATCAGTCCTGTCCCAATTGCGTATTCTGCCACTTGGCTTGGACACTCCATGGCACACTGGGAAAGCAAAGGTAGCCCCTAGGTTTACCCAGAACAAAGCTAAGTCCCAGGGCATCTGGCCTTGAGCTTCTGTTTAGCCTGTGGGTAACCAGTACTCATGAAAGCATCAGTTCTACCTCCACCAGGCAGGAATAATTTGATTTTAGGCTGAAGGGAGTGATTTGTTTTGGAACTCTCCAGCTCCCACAGGGCTGAAAACATGGCAGAGTAGAGGAGAAATCTTGATTTATATCCTGCCTCCACCGCTGACCTGCTGCATGTTACTTTAAACCTATCTGATCTGTTTCCTCATTTATCAGAAATGTCTAACTGTAGGCACACAGGTTAATTGTAAGGATTGCACGTGTTAATAAATATCCTATTCCTCCTCACCACTTAGTGGTGTTGGAAACATGACCCTGGGACCCTGGATGACAAACACGCTAGGACAGAGAAAGTGACCACTGTCTCTTGAAAGGCCTCTGAGGAGAAGTTTGCCCTGCTGGATTTGGTAGGTGTCCCGGACTAAAGCTGGGGAAGAAGGGCCATCTTTGCTCACAGCAAGTGACCCATCACTGTTTAAGGATTGGTTCTCCTTCTGACTGCACCTCTAGCTCATTTTCCATAGGCCAGATTACCCATCCTAGCCAACCTAGTAATTTTTGCCTTGTCAATTCCAAGCTTTTGTCCTCTCCTTTTGACTGTCTACATGTATTCCTATCTTTCAAATTGCTTTATCTTCCTCCAGGAAGCTGCCTAGTTTACCTACATCTGACCCCTGCTTCTCCTTGAGGAAGTCCTCAGCTCTCTTGTACTCAGTCTGCTCTGCAAGGAGCCCATACATTTATGAAAGTGGTGCCGTCAGCCCAGGGATGTCTGAAAAGCCAACCTTGCTTCCCCACTGACTTCCATAGTAAACCAAGAGCAGTTCCCATGGAACAGAAGCTACCTAAAACCTCAGTTGGGATCTTTGGCTGGAGAAGCTGGTTGAGGACAAACTCTGGTTAAGCACTTGGCATGAGGTGTGTCACACCACTGACATTGGGTCGGCTTATATAGAACATTTCAGCTCCCTAGAGTCATCCCTAAGTAGCCTCGGTGGTGTAGATTATGGATTAGGCTGCAAGGTTGTTTGCTCCAGGGAGAATGATGAGACTTTCTGTTCCCGTAAAGATATACAGCCTCAGAAACCTTACACAGGGTTACTATGGCTTGGAACCAATTCGATGGCACACAGTGGCGGCAGCAGAGTCATCCCTAGGATGAGACCACCTCCTTTTCCATAACTATGGGACTTTTCTCAAAGTCTGGAGAGCTCTTAACTACCCACTTCCTTGAATTTAACTTTGCCCTCTAGCTGAAAATTTCCAATATCCTACAGAATGTGGATACAGCTGGTGGTGGGAGTGGCTACCTTGGAGCACATTACCAGTCAGTATTGGTTACGAGTTGGGCTGCTAAAACCTCAAGGTAATCAGTTCGAAATTACCAGTTGTTCTGCGGGCAAAAGATGAGGCTTTCTGCTCCCTTAAAGATTTGCAGCCTCAGAAACCCTAATACAGGGTTGCTATGAGTCGGAACTGACTCCACGGCACACTACCACCACCACTACCATTTATGTCCAAAATATGATGTCTTCTGACTTGACATTTCCTAAGTTGGAAGCTTCTGGTTTTATCCAGTTATCACTAAGCTTGTCAGCTTTCTTTGAAGTTCTAGGTAATGTATATAGTTAACACGTGGGCCCCATGTACATTAATTTACCCTAGCGTCTTTGTCACTTTATCGTCTATCCATTCCCCAGAGCAGGGATCCTCTGTCTCCTTGAACAGACAAAGAAGAGACAGAGTCTTTGTCTTCTTTGTCACTTGCATCTCCCTTCATTATTTGGGTCTGAGGTTGTGGTATATATGCTGAGGGATGGAAGGGGTCAGCCATGTCCTCCACACTGTAGTGCTCAAGACTTGGCAGGAAAACAGTTTAACTCTCTGGTGGTTCTTTTCTGTCTTTCTCTGGTGTGAGTTATCTAATAACCAAAGAGGACTCTGACCTTTGGCCTGTCCCTAACTTTCTCATTCCTTTCATTGGAGGGAGGGAAGGTGGTAGTGGGTGCCCTATGATATGAAAGCCCCACTTACCCTCTTCCACATACTTTGTTCTAATGCAGAGTGAAGAAAACATAAGAAAGGTAGTGAGTGTGGACCAGGGGAGGTCAGAGGGGCCAGCCCTGGAAACCAGAAATAAAGTGGCATGAGTCCGATGGTAATTGGTGATAAGAAAGGCACTCCTGCTGTGTGAAAGGCCAAGGGTAGTGCCTCCTCAGGGGGCACTTAGTGACATCTCAGAAGCCTGCTTCAAGGTCCATTTGCCCACAACATCCTGAGTGCCACAGGATCCTGGGTGAGTCACAGAAAGAGAATGGTCCATGCCCAGGGTCATGCCATCAGAACCCAGGCAGAGGCAGGGAGTTGAGGATAGATGATCCTCTAGGAGGGGCTAGTGGAGCCAGGGAGTCATTGAAGTGAGGAGCAATTTCTGGAGGAGGAGACCTGAATTGGAAAAAACTAGTCAAGGAGTGAGAAGGATAACATCCTAATTAGGTAGGAAGACTCGGGCAGAGGTTGGTAGGGCTAGGCCGGCTGAAGTCTAAGCTGTGGGGAAGTGAGTGTCCCAGGAGGTGAAGTCCTGACGTCTTCCTCTTTGCATCCTTCCACCTGCTCAAATCCCCTTGCCTTCAGGTACAATGGAGGACAAACGCAACATCCAGATCATTGAGTGGGAACACCTGGACAAGAAGAAGTTCTATGTATTTGGTGTGGCAATGACAATGATGATCCGTGTCAGCGTCTACCCGTTCACCCTCATCCGCACCCGACTGCAGGTTCAGAAGGGCAAGAGCCTTTACCATGGGACCTTTGATGCCTTCATCAAGATCCTGCGGGCAGATGGTGTGACTGGTCTCTACCGGGGGTTCCTGGTCAATACCTTCACTCTCATCTCTGGCCAGTGCTACGTCACCACCTATGAGCTCACCCGGAAGTTTGTAGCTGACTACAGTCAGAGTAACACAGTCAAATCACTGGTGGCTGGTGGCTCAGCCTCCCTGGTGGCCCAAAGTATCACAGTGCCCATTGATGTGGTCTCCCAGCACCTGATGATGCAGCGCAAGGGTGAGAAAATGGGCCGCTTCCAGGTGTGTGGGAACTCAGAGGGACAAAGGGTGGTTGCTTTTGGCCAAACCAAGGACATCATCAGGCAGATCCTGCGGACTGATGGGCTTCGAGGCTTCTACCGAGGCTATGTGGCTTCACTACTTACCTACATCCCAAACAGTGCTGTCTGGTGGCCCTTCTATCATTTCTATGCTGGTAAGTAGGGTCCAGGAAAGTGCAGGGGTGGGTTTGTTAATGGAGCTGAGATGCTGTATGCATGTTGGAGAAAAGGTGAGATTTCATGTCAAAAGGGGAGAATGGGCCATTCATTCAGAAAGCTTTCATTGACCCTATGTATTAAGAGGATTCAAAGATGAATAAAACATGGTTCTTGCCTTCAGGGAGCTTATAATAAAGTAGAAAGAAAAAGACAAGTGAAAGATGACTGTACAGCAGTGCTGGAGTACAATCTGGATGCATTGGAATCAACTAGGGTTAATGGAATGTTATGTTCCAAGGAGCAGCTGGTGGGTTTGAACCACCACCAACCTTGAGGTTTGAACCACCAACCTTAAGGTTAGCAGTCTAGTGTGTATACTACAGCACCACACCAGGATTTCAGGGTTAACGGAATACTGGACAAGAATTGGAAGGTAGGGACAGACAAAACTCTTGAGCTGTTTGGGATTTAAAGATGAAATTGATGGATGTTTTGATGGAAATTGTGAGCTTCTGATTTGGGTGTCTTTCCTCAGCATTGTTAAATTTACGATGAGCTATAACCTTGAACTTCTCCACTTCCTATAATGTGTCTTTGTTCACAAGACATTTTTATTTCTCCTAAGTATTTCACATAAATGGATCAAAAGATAAGAGCATTTTTGAGGGCCTCGATAAACATACTTCCAGATTTCCTTCTAAAAGGACAGAGCACATTGCCAAGAGCAGAGCCTGAATATGCCTATTACACTGCAGCCTCCACAGCTTTGGGTGCCTACCAATCCCTGCTGTGCTTCTTTATCCTTAGCAGTAGGCATTCTTCCCCATCCCATCTGGAACTTTTCTGACCAAACTTTGTAATGACTACCTAGCTTTATAATCTTTTTATTTCTGTGGTACAGTGCTTTTCCGGTCCTCCTTTTTTAATGATTATACTTTATTTTTTTCCTAGCTCTATTTTTTCTTCTATTTAACATAGCCTTTCATCTGAAGTTTTGGCAAAAATCTAGATTCTTTGTTTCAAGACTTTCTGTGAGTGATCCTGGCAGTCTATTGTATAAGTGTGTGGTAAATATGCCCATGGAAATCGTAATGTTAAAAAAACCTCCCCAGGAAATGTGTGCATTTTCTTTGAAACCTGTTTTTGCCCTTCTGTCCTCTTTTGGTTTAATTTATAGCTAGAGCTGCCCTTTTCTCATGTGCCCCAAATCTCTATTTCTGTTTCTAAACTTGTCTGTTGTCTACAGTTCTCCACAGACATGCTCACTATTGGACCTCTCAACCTGGATGCATCTATTTATACCTATAATTGTATTCAATTCGCTATCTTTCATTCCAAGCAAGTGCTCCTCCTTTCTGACTTTTCATGTGTCAGTGGCCTTATTTTCTGAATCACTGAGGCTTAGTGCTTTGATGCTTGACCACTCCCTCTTCCTTGTCCCTCCCTCTTCCTTGTCCCTACATTTAGTCCTGGTGACTCCAGACTGCTTCTCCCTGCTTTCTCTTTACTTCTCTTGCCTTCTCTGGAAACTGTGCCGCTGGTACCACCTTTCTGGACTGCCTGCATTGTTCTCTCTCAGTCCTTCCCAGCCACTGTACTTATTCCTAATGGATTCATTTCCTAAACCCTAGATGTGATGTTCAGCAGTTCCCACTGTGTGCTGAGTAAAATCCAAACTCTTAGCCTGGCTGTGTTGCCCCTTTCCAGTGACATCTCTGACTGCTCTCCTATGTATAGTCTAGGCTGTGATCTGGCCCGATTACTTCCAGTCCGTCACCCATGCATGCACTCTCCCACTTCTGTGCTTTCTCATCAGCCCTCTGCCTAGAGTGCCTTTCTGGTCCATTTATTCCTGATGAATCACGACTTACCCTAAGTGCTCCTTGCTTCATCTTCTACCACCCGCTCCATGTAACCCTTACCCCAGAAATATTCTTTCCCTTTTGCCTTGTTATTCCTGTGCATCTTACCTCTTCTACCACATGGAAAGGTGTCCTGGGAAGGGAGAGGAACGGTAACATTTTTTAAATGTCTATTTTGAGCTAGGATCTGTGCTGAGACATTGTATGTCTCTCATTGTTCCGGTTTCACAATAACTATATGATATAGGTGCCCTCACAGGATATATTCCCTGCCATCACAGCATAGATTTGATTCCTTTTTTATATGTGCTTATGAAACCACATTACTTATCTTTCAGAAAAGTCAGCTGAACTTGTAATGATATAATGATGGGTATGATTATTAATTTAGTGTCTGGTTTTGCCCACTATTGTACCTCTTAACACCTATGTGAGGTTCTGGTGAATTGTAAGTGCTCAGTGAATACTGACTGAATATGTAGATCGGTACCTATCACTCCCTTGCTTAAAATCTGCCAATGCTGCCTTATGGGCATTTAGAATCAAATTTAGTTTTCTTCTAGTGATCACAATTCTTCATAATCTGGCCCCATCTACTTCTCTAGCCCCATCTTGTGCCTCTCACCCCTTGCTCACTCTGGTCCAACATCTCTGCCCTTGTCTCAGTTCCTGGTCCTTATCTTTGCAGATAATGATCTCTCTACCTGGAACACTCCTTCCCCTGCTCTTTGTATGGCTGACTGCTTCTCACACGTTGGGCCTGGCTTACATACCACCTTTTCAGAGGCCTTCTTTTAACAACCCTGTTGGAAAGTGGGTTCTTTCTGTTTTCTTCTGTAACATCTTCTCTTTTTTTCATAGCATTTGTCATAATTCTTATTATTTTATCTCCAACTCCCAGGTCCCTAATTAGAATGCAAGTTCCATGAGGGCATTTCCCTGTCCAGTTGTCTGTTTTTTGTCCAGTGCTTATCAAGTGCCTGGCATCCAGAAAGCATTCAGTGAATATTCATTTCTATTATTTGTCCAAAGTCATTTCACCAAGAGAGGCTTAAACCAAGTTGCCTTGGGTTGATTTTCTGGCTTGCAGATAATAGGTGCTCAATAAACATTTGTTGACTGAATAACAGATACAAAAGAACCATGTGGGGCTCTTTCTGCTACCCTCGTAACTTTGTTTTTTTCATCCTCCCCCTAATCCCCAGGAAAATGTCATGATTCAAATTGGAAATTGGATTGCACTGCAGATTGCAGTCCTGGGACCAGTGCAGACAGGTCCAAGAGGCTGGTCGTGCCAGTCCAGACACTACCTTCTAATGATTGCAAAATGCCCTCTTTTCAGGAGAAACAGGACACCCATAAGGCGGAGTCACCAGTCAATTTGCTTCTGTTTATGTAATAACACTGAGGAGGAAAGTGATTAAAAACTGGGGGAGAAGTGGTTCTCCTAGGGCTTACGGAATCCTGCCAGGTCTTCTGAGACTTAGAAGTACACGCTCTTGCCTTGGCAATCCCTACATCCTTATTTCTCTCTTGGACTCAACTGCAGAAGACGAAAAAACAGTGACGTTTTGGAAGAAAATGCATCTATCTCACATCCCACTGAAAGTAAAAGTCAGTGTTCTTGCAATGACTTCAAGAGCCTAAAGGCCTCTTAAACCTAAGTCACTCATCCTGCTCCTGGCATACTGGCCTTGTTGCCCGCTTGAGCACTTCAGGCCAGGTCTTGCCTCAGGGACTTTGCCTTAAGAAAGCACTTCTCACAAATCGTTCAGATCTGCCTTCTCTGAGTTTTTGCTCAGATTTCACAATTTGGAGAGGCCTCCCTTGACTACCTAGTTTCAAATGGCAACCCCTTCATTCTCTACCTTTGGCAACCCCAATCTCTCTCTCCTGCTTTATTTTATCTGTAGCACACATCACTTTCTGACATAACTATATATTTTGCTTTTACTTTATTCATTGTCCATCTTCCCCATAAAGGCAGGAATTTGAGGCTGTTATATTCATTGTAATATCGTCAGGACCTAGCTTGACTGGCCCGCAGTGGTGGTGATAATGGTGGTAAGTGCCATCAAGTTGGTTCCAACTCATAGTGACCATGTTTAGGGTTTCCCAGGAGCAGCTGGTGGGTTTTAGCTGCCAACATTGTGGTTCACAGTCTAGTGGTGATCCTACAGCACCACCATAGTCACTCAATAAACTTTGGTTGAATAAATGAATGAACTCTTGTCTTTCACCTCCAGATAGGATGAAGCAAAAAATTCAACTGCAGGTGGACTACCATTCCATCTTTTCTTCATCAGCAGTTAGAAAAATGAATTTCTCTTTCTTGATATAGGCTGGAGAAAAAAGTCTCACTATCAGATATAGCATTTTTTATTTTAAATGTTTTTGTTTTAACATTTGTGAACCTTCACATAATTAGAAATTCAAGAGGTAGGAAGGGCATGCAAAGAATTTTCCCCTACCTCAGCTACCCAGTTCCCCTCCTCAGATACTATCAGAGTTATTTAATACATAGGCTCATGTAAGCAAATACGACATGTGTGTTTTTCTAGCCTATGTGTCTGGGAGGAGTAGAGTAAGAGGCATAAGGTTTTTGCTTTTAAACGTTTTATTGTGAATTGAGTGTAAGGTTTACAGAGTAGGTCATCAGTTTTACATTAATCAAATCTTATGCTTTGCTTCATTATAATGATTGCAATCCTCTCCAGGTACCAACAGTAAACAGTTTTATATCATTAAGAGTTTTCTGTTCCTCAGGTGAAAGACACTAGAGGAATTTTGTCCTGTTCAAATGGATGACATGCCCAAGATGACTTCTGGAAGGCACCTGATATTTATAATTTTTTTGTTGGATGCAGATGGAAGCAGATGAAAGAAGAGAGAAATGGGTCTAAGATAGCTAAAGATAGGCAGTTCATTATCATTGGGAATGCCATCTGGTAGAAGTAGCAAACATAGTAAGGTTGGGTGGAGTGGTATCTCATGTCTTAAGACATTGTCTTTCCTCTGATTCCAGAGCAGCTCTCATACCTCTGTCCTAAGGAATGCCCTCACATTGTCTTTCAAGCCATCTCAGGGCCCCTGGCTGCAGCCACTGCCTCCATCCTCACCAATCCCATGGATGTCATCCGAACCCGTGTGCAGGTAAGACCCGCCTTTTCTTCTCTTTCTTCCTACATCAGCTATTAGAAGCATGAACTTCAGACTCTCTAGCACTTCTCTTATCTCCTCTCATGGCCCTCTAGCCCAGCCACGCCTTCTCGGTCACCCAAGTCCCTTCCTGTGGCTATTGCTTGCCATCTGTAGAAACCACTGAACACTTGTAAGCACCTAGAATGTTTCTCTTATGCTGTCTGCAGCCTTGCACGCTTCTACTCCTATATATACCCACACCTGTAGACCACTTACTAATTTCTTACAGTCTGTCATCCCATCAGCATAGCCTGACTACCACCCTTTACTTACCTTGCAGACTTGTCATTCTTAGAAATACCTAGTTCTGTTAATTTCATAAATCTGCCTGGTTTCTCCATGAGGCTCTGACAGACAGTTGAGAGGGACTAGTCTTGAATAGGTTTCCAGAGTGTACCATGTGGACCTCGGGTGGTACTGTCCTGAGATTAGAACCCTCATCTTCAGACAACTCAAAGACTAATCACATAACCACATAGGCCAAGAAAACAGGTTTTGCTGTATCAAAGCTTATGTAGAAAGAATGGGTGGGTTAATGAGTAATTTGAGTAGTTGAAGAAGGAAGGTAGAGGGAAGAAGATCTTAAAGGCTGTATGGGACTATAAGGTTACTGGGTTATGATGAGGGAACAAAAATAACATTAACAGCTTCTCAATGAGTGCAGGACAGATGTGCTCCCTATTCATTCCTTCCCTGTACTATAAGACCTTTGTAAGGTGACCATGTCCATGGCTGAGAACACCCACCCATTCCTCCCTGTCTCCTTCATACTTCCCTTTTCCTTTCCAATACAAGTAGTCCCCAATTTACAATGGGCTTCGGTTCCAATGACTCTTGTTAGTTAGTTCTGACACACATGAAGTCAAATACCTTTTTCTAAAAACTTTAGTTGCACTATTGCTTTTTATTATAAGTATCTTTATAAATCCAATCTTTGTCTTTGGGGGTTGGCATTAGAATGATAACATCAACAAATTATGCTCTGCAATGTGATATGTTGTTGTAAAGTGTCGCAGAGTCATTTCCAATTCATAGCAACCCTGTATAGGGTTTCCAAGGAGCAGCTGGTGAGCTTGAACCACTGACCTTACAGTTCAAACAGACTTTGCAGAATTACACAGTAACCCACAATGCCACACCAGGATTCCAATGTGATCTGTAGTAGGTATTATTATTAACAGTAAGGTGTTTTTTTAAAAAGAAAAAAAAGGTCATTAGTTAGTACACTTTATCGTAACTCAAATGTGTTGTAAATCAAAACTATCTGTACTGTCATATCTGACCACCTCTGCCCCCATAACCCTCTACTAGTCCCTATTGCTGCATCAGCTGGGAGGATGAGCAGGGGATTGTTGAAAGAAAAGATGCTCCTTGGCCTTAGCCATACCTCTAAAGTGATAGAGAAGACAGGCCACAGGGATCATGGACGATAACAGGGAGCTGGAGGACTCTAACCCTGGGGTCCCAGAGGGATTGAGATGATCAAAATCATAGACCAGCAGAGCTGCAGAGAACCTTAGAGAATATTTTAATCCAGCCTCCCTGAGACCAGAAAGAAGCACCCAGGCCAAAGACTCATTGCTACGTAGCTTATATGATATAGATAATAGCGAACATTCTTTGTATACTTTTTAATCTGCCAGGCAATTGTTCTCGACATTTTTGATTATTCTTTTGTTCATTAGTATTCTTTTTTGTTTATTTATTTTATGTTTGGAAAAACTGAGACACAAAGATAAAAAACATAACCCAAGGTTATGTTTCAGTAAGTTGGAAAGCAGGTAGTCTGGCACCAGAACCTGTGTGAAATCACTTTCCCTCACAAGCGATCCAGCCCTTCTGACTCCCAAGTCCAGTTCTTTCCACTTTGGCCTAAGGCAAAGGGAGATTGAGTAGGAGGACTACAGTTAATGGTCTTTCATTGTGTTGATGTTTCCAGGTTGAAGGCAAGAACTCCATCATCCTGACCTTCAGACAACTGATGGCAGAGGAGGGGCCTTGGGGCCTCATGAAGGGGCTCTCAGCCAGAATCATCTCTGCCACACCCTCCACCATTGTCATTGTGGTGGGCTACGAGAGCCTCAAGAAGCTCAGCTTACGACCTGAGCTGGTGGATTCTAGACACTGGTAACCAGTGGTGGGAAGAGAAGCCTGCTGTTTCCTACATTTTTGGGGCAGAGTCAGAAGGATACCACCTTCTGCAACGCCCCTACCACACACCCAGCTCTGCCCTGAGCCAGGTGGCCTGTCTGGGCAGGGACAGAGACTTTGAGCTGCTCTTGCTGAAGAGGTTCTAAGCCTACACCCCTGCCCCCACTATTTTTAATTCTCTTGCCAAACTGGGTTCCCTCACTCAGTCCCTGTACTCTGTTTCACTCTAAGGAAACCCCTACCTGCTAACCTTTCAAGTTTCCCCTTCTATCTGTGTTCCTGAGATCATGAAAAGAGCTGTACATAAGCTTGTTTGCTACTACTGACCTTCCTTTTGGGTTTACAGCCCATACTACAAGCAGCTGCCAGCAGCCCTTCACTACTTCATCTTTTAGGGTTGCTGATTTTAAATTTAGAGCTGAGCTTCTCTTCTGATTACTCTTCTTTCCCCTGCCATTGAGATAAGGTGCCAGGCACCTACATAGGGAGTAGAAGTAGCAGAATTTCTCTACAGAGCTTGCTATCTCGTTGGAGGAATGATTAGGTTGGGGAGAAATGTTGATACTTTATTTTGTTGGGGTTTTGTGTGTGTTTTTGTTTTTTAAAAAATAATCTCTGTGAAGCAGGCTATTGTCTTAGCCCTGCTAAAACACCAATCCTGCAGTTAGAGCCCACCCCTTCTTCAGACAGATGGAAAAACATAATGTAGCTTTTCCTTTAATCCCAGTTCCCTATCCCTAAGTCCCTGGAGTCATGGGACAATATAAGCTGCTGGATTCCCCTGGCCCAGATGACTACATTGGTGGACAGAGTTCTAAACAGATCAGACTATTTGAGACTCATTGGACTTGGAGCACTGCCTTGCAAAATCAGGTTGATAGAATAATTTGTTTAGAAAACAACAAGAAATAGATTGTGCCCAGCATATTGCCTCCCAGGCCAGCTGAGCCAAGCCTGGGAGAAAGCAGGGGAGGTTCGCAGCCCTAGACAGACATATGTATACTGTAAATACTTGGACTCACAGAAGCAAATGCCACCTAACAATGACAATTTATGAGATGAACTGTTTGGGGTTTTTTTCTCCTTGGATGTGAAGAGTTCTCCCAGTACTGGTGCCCTACGGAGGATGTTTGGAGGACAGTGAAGAGTGGGTCAGGAAGTTACCCATAACAGGACCACTGCATTTACCAGCCTGATACTGCCAAGATTATTTGTTGACACTCCTCAGAGCTGGGAAATGGGCTTTCCTTCCCAGTCTAACTTTCCTCCCCAACTCCTCCACTAAATAGAGAGGTGCAGCAAATGGAATGAGAAGAAGGCACATCAAACCTTTCATTTCTACTTGAGATATCTGGCCAGGACAATACATCAACCTTCTTATTGGTCCCACCCACTGGGAAAGACCATGGTGCCAATTTGAAAGGTGCTAGCTACTTGAAGCCTTGATATTTCTATGGCTACCCTATTCTTTCACCCAGGCCAGATCAGAAAATTGTATTTCTCTACTTTTACCACCAACACTGCCCATCTTGATCTTTAAAGATTTTTTCCCTTTTCACTTGTTTTTACTTTTGTTTGTCCCTTCCTGCACTTTATCAAGAGCGTCTTCCAATTTCTACCAATGAGAGGCCATCTAAAGGGGCCCACAGATCGTCTTGAATCTCCTTACCATACCCCTGTCACCCTTTAATCCTAAGGACTACTAATATAATAGAAACAAAGGCCTCCTTTTCTTTCTTCAAGCTCTTCCTAGGGAGACCTCTGTAGATTGGTTCTCAGCTCCGTATCTTTCTCTCTTTAGAGATTTGTCTTCAGTTCTTCCCCAAAGTGGGTAAAGTATCATGCATGGATGAGGAAGTGGTCTCCTTCCTCTCATGTCTTAAGAGTATTTCCCTCCCAGACTATTGTCTTCTTGTACAGTATTTCACAGCCTTTGTCTCATCTTTCTCTCACAGGGAGTTTTAAAGAATGTTGTGTGTATAATTAAGGAAGCCCCTGGCCCTCACATCTTCATTTGGTAGGTTTAGGTACCGATTGGGTTTGATTAAAACATGCCTTGGGGAAAATAAATTCGGTGAACTTTCATGTCCCAGAACCAGAGAACTGGTCTGCTGGCATTTTGGTTTATTGATTGGTGGTCAAAATGATAGAAACAGCGTTTGGAAGGATGGATGGGCAAGACGATGAAACCTGATGAGAGTATTTGTGGGGCTGAGGAATGACACACACTTAATTTTTGATAAAGAAGACTCTTGTGAACATTAACAGTGAGTATTCACTGTTGCACTGTACGAAGTCTTTGAAATGTAATTAAAAGTTTATATTGAGCCCTTGCGCTTTGGCTTATGCTTGTTTTGCCAAGGCTGCCGTGACAGTACGTTGGGCTAACATTATCAACAGTCTTATCTTTGCTTAAACTCGCCGCCTCCAGTTTTCCTTTCCAGCGCCCCGCGGGTGGCTGGTGATAAACACTTCTCCGAGTCCAATCAGAAGCTCCCAGTGCCAGGAGGAGCCAATCGGGGGCTTCAGTGGGCGGGACTTCCGTGAGTTAGATTTGGCGGTTTGACTTCAACATGGCCGAAGCGAGAAGCAGTGACACAGGCAACCGTTTTGATGAAAATACGCCTGAGGGTACGTCCCCGAAGTCTCTGCTACCTGGCACTACCATTTCAAGGGTGAAGCTCCTCGACACGATGGTGGACACTTTCCTCCAGAAGCTAATCGCTGCCGGGAGGTAAGGGGGAAGAAAATGAGGGAGAAGAAAATGACGCTGTAAATTAAAAGGCGTGAGAGGGAATGGGCGGGTTTACCCTGAGCAACGGTCCAAAATCCCGCGATAGCAGGACAAGACTTCAGTCTTGTCAGTCGCTTGAGCCTGTGGAGGTCGGTGTTAGCTAACAGGTTTGGGGCCCTGGGAGGCAGATTCCGGCTTTATTGACGATGGTAGTAGGAAGAAGAAGAAGAAAAAAATCAAGACTGCCAGAATCTAGAGAAAGTGATATTTACCAACACAGATAACCTGGCACCAAACGGAAACAAGCCGTTGCCATCGATCTGAGTCTTACTAATGATGCACCCCCACAGGACAGAGTAGAACTGCCCATTAAGACGGCACTTAACAACAACAAATCTATGGACGCTGTAATCAATCTATAGGAGTTCTGGTTAGGAGTCGGGCTCCTATTCTCAAGGTCAGCAGTTCAAAACTGCCGCGGTTCTGCGGGAGAAGGATGAGGCTTTCTGCTCGTAAAGATTTTCCGCCATGGAAACCCTATACAGGGTCCCTATGAGTTAGAACCTACCCTGAAACCGACTCATGGCACACAACCAATCTATGGTTAGGCTTTGGACTGCTAACTGCAAGGTCAGCGGTGCAAACCCACCAGCCACTTCATGGGAGAAACCTGATAGAGGGTTGTTATAAGAATCGACTCCAAGGCAGTGGGTTGGGTTTGGCTTTGGAATCTTGCTGGAAACAGATTGCCAGGTTTTTCTCCTGGGCAGTGGCTGGTAGGTCGGAACCTCCATAGCCCAGCACCTAACCACGGTGTCACCAAGGTTTCTGTATTTGGAACACCTAGCATTTTTTTTCTATCCGTAAGCTTAGTTTTAATTAAAATTTCAGTTGGTTGAAATTGTATGAGTTCAAATGATGTTCTCACTTACGTGAGCAAGACTTAACGGCTCACATGTGCCTCAGTTCCTCATCAGTTAGAACGCAGATAACATTAGAATGTTAGCTAATATACCTTCTTCCCTGGGAGGTTGTGAGGAGCCAAATGTATTACCATAAAAAGAAACATTTTCTGTATCCTGATTTTTATTTTATATGAACAATTCTATAATGGTATTGGGCGCTTTAAAAAAAAAAAACTGTTGCCCATGATCCCAGTACCCTAGCACATTAATGCTGAAGCACTGTTATCAGAATCAATATTCAAGGGGATTGGTGCCTTGACCACAGCCTCTTCATCCAGTTCTCTAGTTCCACAGCCCGTTTGTGGCTTCATCAAGACTCCCATCTTCTCCCAACTCAGTTCCTCTTGTGTTCATTACTTTACCTTCCAGCATAGACGTGTGGTGCCCTGATGGGTGCTATAGGATAAGCACTTGACAGCTAACCTCAAATTGGCAGTTCAAACCCTATGTGGTGTTGATATGAGTCAGGCCAACACCACAGCACGTAACAACAACAATATAGACATTATCCATCTCTTTCATTGCTGATTCAATCTGCAAATACTTGAGTGCCTATGCAGACTCCTGGTGGTGCAGTGGCTTAAGCACTGCTGCTAACCAGAGGTTAGTGGTTCAAACCCACCAAGGGGGGGAAAAACGAGTTGGTCTGTTTCTTTAAAGATTTATAGCCTTAGAAACCCTCTGAAGCGGTTCTATTCTGACCTATAGGATTGCTCTGAGTCAGAATCGACTAGGTGGGGTATGCTCTGTGCCAGGCACTGAGACTGGGGATACCACAGGCAGATAAGGCCCCTGTTCTTTTGGAACTTAGACTTGTTAGATAAGAGACATGCAGTAAACAAGAAAATCACAAAGCTTGGTAAGCTAATGAACAAGTGATGTGATTAGGAATTTCTCAGGGGTAGCCTTGGGGGAAGAAGAACGTTAAAGAGTAGAGGAGCCCACTCTAAGGAGGTGATGCTTGAGCTGAAGTTTGAAGGATGAGAAGGAACCAGTTTTTTGAAGAATGAAAGGAAGAGCTCGTAAGGCAAGAGGACACCTTGTGGCTGTGAGGGTGTCAGGATGTTCTAGGGAGCTAGTGACATGGGCAGAGTAAAAGCAGTAGAACTAGATAGGCAGGGGACAGCCCCATCGTGCAGAGCCTAGTTCTCCATAGTAATGAGTTGGGGAACAAATGCTTTTTATGGACATCGTCAGATGTCTAGGCAAGGAACTTCCCCTGTCTAATGATTCTCCCCACTTATATGCTTGTCCCCTGTCCTACCTTACTGATCGTCCTCTCTGCTGGCTCCATATCCTCCATTTAGTCACAATACCAGGTATTTACTGATCACATCTATAATGTGTTAGGTTCTGTTCTGGGATCTGAAGAGACCACTGCGAGCAAAACAAATAAGTTCCCTGTTCTCATGGTGTAGACGTTTTTTACCAGAAAGAAAAATTAATCCCAGTGAAGGAGTATGGAGCAATGGGGAGAGGAGTCGGGATTAGTGTGAGCATGAAGAAGTGACATTTGATTATTTGCATTGTATAATACATTTTTTCTATGTATTATGTTTTTATTTATATGAATGATACTGTGCTGCAGATGTTTTCTTTTCACTCAACACCATTTAATAATAAAATCTACCCATGTACTGTGAGTACATATGATTGATTCTGAGCTTCTCAGTGCTACCTCTCATTCCATGCTGTGTATCCACCACACACCCAACCCCTGTCATGGACTCATCTGTCTCCATTTCCCTCTTCCACAAACTATGCCAGAGTCAATATTCTTGGGCATTTCCTCAGGAACTAGAGCTAGAATCTCTTTGAGATATATGAAGGGGCTTCAAAAAACTCATAGAAAAAAATCCAATATCTTTTTATTCCATTTTTCCACAAACTTTTTGAAGCTCCCTCATTTATACCTGAGAAAAGGGATCACTGGATTCTATACCTACAGAATTGTCATCAGATGGTTTTCAAGAAAAGTTGTTTTTCTTTCTCATTATTTTATTGTGAAATGAATGAATGTTTATGGAGCAGATCATTGGTTTTTTACATTAAAAAAAATAATATAGCTTGCTTCATTACAATGATTGCAGTCCCTTCTGTGTACTGTATTCACTGTGTACTGTATCAGTGAACTGTATTCACCTCTATTCCCTGTAACTCTTGTGTTCTTTCCTGTCTCCCACTACCTTCATCTTTCCTCTGATAACCTTCCTCTTGTATATTTCCTACTCTGTCACCCATGTCATATGTTTTTACCCTCTAGCCCATGAATAATTTTCCCTGGCCCCCCTCCCCCCAACCATCATAGATTATTTCTTTATCAAGAAAACCTTTAATTCACTTTTTATCACATTGGTCTCATACAATATTTGTCCTTTGGTGCTTCACAGATTTGTCGTAATTTTTCAGTTTTGCATAGTGTTCCATTGTGCGTATGTACCAAAGTTTGTTTAACCATTCTTCTGTTGATGGCATTTAGGCTGTCTCCATCTATTTGACATGTCTCTGGCAGACAGCATATTTAAGGATTCTGGTTTCTTATCCATTCTTGTCTCTATGTGTCTTGACTGGTATATTTAACCCATTTACATTCAGTATAATTATCAATAGGTATGAATTAATTGCTGTCATTTTTCCATGTATGTTTTTGTGGTGCAGATGGTTTCTTTGTTTCACATAATTTTATACACTGATTTCATTTTGTTTATGGGTTTTCATTTATTTCTGTGGTGTTAATGTATATTAAATCGTTCAGATTTTCCTCTTTTTAATTTGATGTATTACTTTTCTTTGAGGTTGCCCTGTAATTTATTAATTTTCTGTTTTATCTTGAAAGCTACCTGACTTCCTTGCCA